TGTCCCCAGGACGGCTCGGTCCTCGTGCCCCCCGCCCTCCAGTCCTACCTTGGCACCGACCGCATCACGGCCTCCACCCACGTGCCTCTCCAGTACATCGGCCCCAACCAGCCCCAGAAGCCCAAGCTGCCTGGCCAGCCGGCTGCCAGCTGAGAACCCGCCCCCAGCAGCCAGCAGGGAGCCGCGGCCTCTAGCGCTCAGGAGACCCTGGCCCTGGGACCAGTTTCCCTGCGCCCATCCTGACAGCCACATTGCTCAAGTCGGCCCCACGCCCAGTCCTTGGATTCCGGGGTCCGCCTCTTACACTTCCCTGCTGCCTCAGAATCAGCCACCAACCCTGTTGCCATCGGGGTCCCAGCCTGCGGTGGGAGGCAGGACTTGTGGAGACTTAAAGGTTCTAGGGGGCCGGGCTCGGTGGCTCAGCCTGTAATCCCAACGTTTTGGGAGGCCGAGGTGAGTGGATTGCCTGAGCCCGCGGGTTCAAGACCCGCCCGGGCAACTTGGCGAGACCTCAGCTCTACAATAAATCAAAAAAAAAATTAGCCAGGCGTGGTAGCGTGCGCCTGTGGTTCCGGCTACTTGGAAGGCTGAGGCGGAAGGATCGCCGGAGCCCAGTGGGTCGAGGCTGCGGTGGCCGGGAGTGGCCACTGCACTCCAGTCTGGGCGACAGAGTGAGACTCTGACTCAAAAAATAATAATAATAAAATAAAGGTTCCAGGGATGGGAGGAGAGAAAGAGTCCTCCGTCTTTCCTTCTTCCCTCTCTTGGGGCCAAGCAGCAAGTCCCCAGTAAGTGGTCCGAACCAAGGCCTTTGAGGGTCTGTGAGCAAGGGCGATGCCCCCTGGCTTTCTGGGGGTGCTGAGTCACCCAAGCGTCTGCGGCTGCCAGAGCCATGGCTGGAAGTGTGTGGGGACCACCAGGGGAGCTGAGTGGATGTCGAGTCTTCTTCCTTCTCCGGGACACGCTTGGGCAGTCACGCTCCAGTGGCTCCGTTGAGGTGACCCCAGCCTCACTGTCGCCCCTCGGCCTCCAGCTCCTCCTGCAGCTGCCCTTCCACAGCTCCGGGCCAGGTCCGGTGGGCCTCTTGAACTCAGAGGCCAGCGGGTCCTCTGGTCATCTTGCCTAACCCCACTCTCCCCCAGGCGTGCTGGACTCAGGACACTGCCAGTTGCCTGGGCCCCATCCCTCCAGGCTGTCCCCCACTTTCCTCGTGGTCACATCCAGTTCACTAGCAAACTTGGCAGCCCCACCTGAGTATTTCTAGCACCTGCCTGTTGCTCTGTTCTGTGTGCAACCCCCCCCCACCATTGTCTCCTGCCAGGATGGTCACAGAAGCCTCCTCACTGGGGCTTCTAGTTGGGTCATGTCCCTCCCCTGCCAGAGCCCTTCGGTGGCTCCATCTCAGAGGCCAGAGCTTTCACCTTGGACCCCGAGGCCTCCTAGCCTGCCCCCTTCCTCGGCAGCTGTCTGTCCTGCTTGGTTGGCCCTGTCTGCCTGCTGTGGAAACTCCCAACTTCTTCCTGATGGGCTGTTTGTTGCACATGCAGGTGCCCCTCCTGGGCTTTCCTCCCCTAAATCTTGTGAGCTGGCCTCCATCCTATCACACGGGCCTTCGCGCAAATGTCACCCCCTTAGAGAGGTCCTTCCTGACCAGAGTCAGCCCCCAGCACACATTAACTCCGCCCCTACGTGGACACACTGTGGTCACTTCCTCCTTCCTTGGCATGTGTGTATGTTACTGTCTGTCTGCCGCCTCTCAGATGTCAGCTCCAAGAGGGCCAGGTGTTTGCCAGCTTGTTCACTCTAAAAGAGGGCCTGGCCTATAGTAGGTGCTCAGGAAAAACCAGAGTGAAGTGCCCAGACCTGTGCTGTGCAGCGTCCAGTGCCAGACACTCCCCCAACACCACACACACTATCCAATCCTCACATCAAGCTGTGAAGAAGGTTGTCACCAACCTCACTTCACCCGTGAGGAAACCGGTCTCAGAGAAGGCGAGCAATTGTCCCAGGCTGCACAGCTGGTAGGTGGAGAGGCCAGGAAGGAAGGTGTCTGGAGTCCCAGCCAGGTCTGCCTCCGTGGAAGCTTCAGGGGAAGCATGAGCCAGGCACAGGCCCCATGAATAATTGAGTGTGCTGGGCAGGCAGCCGCCACACAGCTGTCACCCGCCGCTGGCAGGGGGGGGGTGGTGACGCTGCTTCCTCCTGGCAGGGCACAGCGTGGGTTATAAGGCGCTGCCGCCTGGCCCCACTGCGCCAAGGTCCGGTTCGACACCAGCATGCTGTGCTGTGGGCCCAGCTCCATGCTGCTGCTGCTGGCGCTGCTGCTGGGGGCGGGTGAGTGCCTGGGGAGCAGGTACTTGGTGGCCAGGGGCGGTCAGGGCAGGGCACCCAGCGGGTTGGACTTGGGACTGCGGGCTGAGTTTCCAGGTGGGAACGGTGCACCTGGCGCGTGCGCTGGGGAGGGGACGCCCGTGGAGCGGGGGTCGGTACTGGGGACAGCACCCATCTCCTCTCTTCACAGCCACCGCTGCCCCCCTGGCGCCTAGACCCTCCAGGGAGGAGGTGAGCAGTGTGACCCTGCCCCCCCCGGCCCTGCCTGCACCGTGAGCCCGGTCCCTCTAACCCTCCCATCACCCTGTGGCCCTTCCCTCAGCCTCCCCCTGACCCTTCCCCCCTGTGCTCCAGCTCACCCGCTGTCTGGCAGAAGTGGTCACAGAAGTGCTGACACTGGGCCAGGCCCAAAGAGGACGCTGCATGGCTCTCCTCCACAAAGGTAAGGAGACCCTGGGCCCAGGTCCCCCTCCAGAGCCCCACCCCGCCCAGGGTCCTGCCCAGGCTGCCTGGAGAAAGAGTCCTCCCGTTTCGGGAGCCCTGTTGCTTGGACCAGCATGGCACTGCCCCGCATTCCCACCTGACAGAGCCTGGCCGCCAGCTCCCAGCAGGACAGGATGCTCTGGGCAGCCCTGTGGGAACCTGGCAGGGCCTGGAACCCTGCAAGGTGTGTTTCCCCATAGATGTTCAGACAGCATCCTGTCTCTTCCGGACAGAGATCTGTGAGTCCGAGCCCTATGGCTGTGTGTCCACTGAGGAGAAAGGCATGCTGGCTGGGGCTCTCAAGAAGCAGGAGGCTGGGAAGACAAGGGCCAGCCAGGAGGTGAGAGACGAGGAAGAGGAGGAGGCCGCAGAGAGGACTCACAAGTCTGAGGTCCGGGAACAGGCCATCCACGAGCAGCTCCGCCACCGGCTCCACCAAGAGGAGGATGAGGAGGAAGAAGAGGAGGACAAGAAGAGGGGGCCCATGGATACCTTCCAGGACCTGTGGCAGCAGCGTCTAGAGGGCGGAAGGGGCCCCCAGAAGCGGATGGCAGAAAAGGCCAGCGACGAGGAGACAGCCCAGTTTGAAGCAGAAGAGAAGGGCGTGCAGGTGCTGGGTGGGGACCGCAGCCTGTGGCAGGGGACCAGCAGGGGCGAGGGAGATGGGCACGGGGACTTGCCACCCCACCACCACCACCACCGCCCACCCGATGCTGAGCCCAAGCAGGAGGAGAAGGAGGAGGCTTTGGAGAGGGAGGTGAGTGGAGGGGGAGACATGCCAAGGCAGTGGGGGAGTGGGGTTGACCAGACAGCCAATGGAGTCACAACCAAACAGCTCCCTGCAAAGCCAGAGCCACCATGAATGGGCCACAGTGAGCGAGACACCAGGAGTAGGTCGCAACATGCATGCGCATGCCAAGTGGCTTCCAGACTACAGTATGGCCACAGGCACCAAGATGGCACCATCACTGCACAGCAGCCTCTGAGCAGGCTGCCATCCTAACCTGTAATGAACAAGTTGGCCACCATGAAAAGTGGCTACTGTGCCTAATCACCAGGCTATAGACAGACGCCATTGCTGGGTCACAGAAAGTGAGACATCACCATGATTGGTGGCAGTAGCCAAAAGGGCCATCACAGCATGGGTGGGTCACGGCATCCAATCCAGTCACCCGTGCTAGCCCCATGAGGCTGCTACTGGCTGTGGTACTATTGGCCACCATAACTTCCTGGGTTATGGCACCAGTGTGGTCACCACTGCAGTCCATGATGACTAGGACAACCACTGTTGGCTGCTCTTGTAAGAATGGATATGGCCTACATTCACGGGTGACCACCCTTTTTTTCTTTATTGAGTCGGGGTCTTACTCTGTTGCCCAGGCTAGAGTGCAGTGGCATAATCACAGCTCACCACAGCCTTGACCTCCTGGACTCAGGCAATCCTCCCTCTTCAGCCTCTCACATAGCTGGGACTACAGGCATGTGCCACCATGGCCAGCTAGTTTTTATTTTTTATAGAGAGAGGTTTCACTGTATTGCCCAGGCTGGTCTGGAACTCCTGGGCTCAAGCAGTCCTCCTGCTTTGGCCTCTCAAAGTGCTGGGATTACAGGTGTGAGCCACCACGCCCAGCCTTGACCGCCCTTTTCTGACTCCACCAGGAGCATGCTGTGGAGCAGCTGGAGCACATGAGAGATGAGCTGAAGAAGGCAACAGAGACGCTGGGGGAGCAGCTCAGGAGGGAGGGATGGCCCCACCCCAGGCCCACCTTCTTCCCAACACACCCCACAGCTTAGGACTGTTGGCCTCAAAGCCCCCACCTCTCCTGTATCTCTTGGCCCCCCACCTGGCAGGGGTGGCAAGGGAATGCCTTGTAACCAAGTCTGAGAGACCGAGTCTGAGACGGGGAGAAGTCTGGGCTCAGACCTGACTCGGGACACACCCCCAACACCCATCCATCCCCACCGGCCCTTCTGAGTGAATAAAGCAAAAGAAAACCACCACAGCGGAGTGTACAGCACTTGAGTTTGGAGAACGGGTCCCAGGAGAAACCGGAAGACTGGGGTAGTGACTGTCAGTCTGGTCTCTGGCTGTCAGACCTGGGACTTTATTAAACTGTAAATTATATTCACAAGTAAACAAATCAGACAGGACAGGGTCGTCAGGAAGAGGTTTGGAGGCTGGGGTGGGAGGCGACTGGTTGGCTCTGGCCCCTGTGGACCACGATGTCGTCATATTCATCCTGGGGGCAGAGGGGCCAGGCAGGGGGCTCAGGCAGCTGGCGCCATGCCCACCGCCCAAGTCCTCACACAACACCCTAGGAACTGGGTCTGCCCTGGAGCCTGCGTTCCCCCCCTCCTGGCTCAACTTCCGGTTTCCTCTCCGAATACCCTTTCCAAGGCCCTCACCCCACGCCACATCCTCCCGCCACCACGGCTGGAGTCCAGCCCGGCTGCCTCTCCCTGAGCGCTGAGTCTCTGCTCCACCCACCCCTCTGTCTTTACCAAGACTCCTCACCCCCCCATTCGGGCCATGCCCTGCCCAAGGTGGTACCTTGGTTGCCTGTGTTCTCCAGCTCAACCTCTGCCCCGCTGGCTGAGGTCTCCCCCCGCCACTGCCAGTATCCAAATCACTCAGCAGCCGGAGGTCTCCAGAGGCCGCAGCCTGCGTTCTCCAACTCCTGCTCCTTTGGCCGCCACCCAGCACTGCCTGTGTTCACCAGTCACTATGACCCACGTCTTTTCTCCACCTCTGCCTGAGTTTTACCTCTGCCCCTGCCTTGCGTTTTCAGCCATCCCTGCCCAAGTCCTCCCTGCCACCCTGTCCATGTCTCTTGACTGCTGCCCCATGGCGCTCGTGCCACTGCCTGAGTTCTCTAACGCCAGCAGCCTAAGGTCTGTCTTGACGGCTGCCTAGTGATCTCCCCCTCCCTACCTGGTGGTTTACCCTGACCCCGGCCGGGCCGCCCCGCCTCTCCTGACTCACGCCCTCGTCGCCGCTGTCGTCCCCGCTGCTGCTGCAGGGCCCGGGCCTGTCGTCCTCATCCTCAGGCTCAGGGGCTCCATGCGCTCGGAGGAGGTGGGCGAGGGTGGGGTTGGGCCGGAGTGTGGCGCTGCCCAGTGGGGTGCGGCCGCCGTACATGCGGGCGGCAGGGTCCGCGCCTGCCTTCAGGAGAAGCTCCAGCACGTCCACTGCCTGGGCCTCCACTGCCAGGTGCAGGGGACTCCGGCCACAGGTGGGCTCCTGCAGGGTGCGGCAGAGAGGTCAGAGGGCCTGAGGTAGGGATGACCCCCACCTGCTACACCCTCCCCCAGGGTGAGGCTCACCGGTTTGTTGAGGTCAGCTCCAGCGTCTCGGAGCAGCTGGACCATCTCCACATCTTTGTGGATGATGGCCACATGGAGTGGGGTGTGGCCTGGGGATAGAGTGACAGACGTCAGACAGTGGGGTGAGTGGCCCAGGCCCCCAGTGCCATGATCCTGGGGGAAGGCCATATGGCCTGAGGGTGATTGGATTTGGGGTCTGGTTCCTGAATCCCTGGGTATATCAAAGACACACCAGGGTCCGAAATGCCTAAGTCTCAGGTGGTCTGAGTCTGCCAACAGGTGCCAGTGCCTGGGTTGCAAGATGCCTGCGGCCTATGGGGTAAAGAGCCTGGGGTCTGGGGCCTGGATCTTGAGACCAGGAGACCTAAGTCTCTGGTCATATTTCACAAAGGTCCTGGGTCCCGAGTAGCTGACTGGCCTGCAACTTGGGGTGGGGGATGGGCCCTGAACACCAGGTCCCAGGTGATCTTGGTCCATTTGTGGAGATGCCTGGTCCCAGGCAGTTGGCCTTATAGTCCAGGGAGCTGAGACTCAGATGCCAGGGCCGGGGCAGACAGGTCCTTTTTCCCATGAGGCCTGGCTGAAGAGGGCTATCCCTGAACCCTGCTGCCTATCGCTGGGAGCCTGGGATGCTAGTTTCACAGAGGGTACTGGCCTTAAACTCCCTCGTCCTGGGTGGGGGCAGGGTTCCTGGCAAAATATCCCCTGCAGGTGGGGAACCTGGGCATGACAACCGGATGCCGGCAGCTCGGGGTCCGTGGTGACTGGTTTGGGTCCCAAGTGGTCTGGGGCCTCCAGGTAGCGGTCCTGGGTCCCACATATCCAGTTCTCATTCATTTGGGACCTGAGTGGCACTCCCAGGTCCCAATGCCTGGGCTCCTAAAGTCTAGGCGCGATCTGAAGAGCTGGGTCTTGAGCCATGGACACTGAGCCCAGAGCCAGGTGCCCTAGCCTTGCCCAGGAGTCTGTGTCCTTCCCAGGTGAGGACCCTGACCCTCACCCTCATAGTTTTCAGCCTCCAACTGCAGCTTCCAGTCCTCCCGAGTCTCCTCCTCTTCCTTCTCCAGGGCAGGTTCAGGGTATGAGGCCACAGGGGTGTGGTTGGTGTCAGGGGTATGGTTAGAGCCCTGCGCGAAGCAGGTGTCGGGGGCTTCCCTGGGGCACCGGGGGCGGGGCCGCAGCAGCACACGTGCGCAGGCATGCGCCCCGACTCGGCAGGCCAGGTGCAGCGCTGTGTGACCCCCACGCTCTGCCATGCACAGCCCGGCACCTGCTGCATATAATTTCTCCACCGTGGATGCCTCCCCCAGGATGGCTGCGAGGTGCAGGGCTGTCTGCGGGAGCAGAGGGCAGGGATTAGGCATTGCACTGAGAACCCTGGACCCCAAGCCCTGTTCTGTCCTCTCGTGGCTCACCTGGCCTAGGTCATTCTGCAGGTCCATGTACTCAGTGCCAGCTGAGAAGCCTAGGAGAAAATCCAGGAAGGGTTCGTGTTGATGAATCACAGCCAAGTGCAGTGCCCTGGGGACAAAGACAGGGGTCAGAGGGCAGAGGCCAAATGCCTTTGCATTCCTTTACCCAACAAGCATGGAGTGCCTCCTGTGTGCTGGGCACTGTGACCATAGTTCTGGAAACAGCTGCCGGCTATCTGGGAGGGTCAGAGGTCAGAGTTACTTCATAAAATCTGTGTAATCAGTGTTTATTAAGTAGGATATCCATTTCCATCCAAAATGAAGTAATATGGACTCAATTTCCCTCCCATCTGAAACAACCAAAATAAAGAAATCAGACAAAATACTATATGTTTCAAAAGTATCAGTTTTGAAGACACTGGATGGTCATCATGCAATGAAGGACAATGATCTCTGAAAGGAAACACAAGGTGAGGCCTACAATTGATTGCCATAGTTACTGTCCTGAGAGAGTTTCCAAGCCACACATAGGGAGAGGGAACCCAGGCAGAGCCCAGCAGGTAGCCCAAGGTGAGGAGATGGAGCTGAGAGTCTGGGAGACTGGGTGGCTGGAGACATAGGACACAGGGCCAGAAAGGACACAGCTGCACAAGGAGACCCCTGGAACTCTTAGGGGTTCCCTCATGTATTCAGAAGAATGCTGATAGTGCATGTGTGTGAGCCCGGAGGAGATGGGAAGAAAAACCACACAAAAGGATTACAGAAAAGTGCCCATCATTCACATAGGCCAAGAATAGTGACTGTTCCCACCAGCCATAACCACAGAACCCTGGGCAGGATACTCAGAAAGGTCCTGCCTCAGTAGTGGGGAACACTTAGCCATTGATGGATCACTGCCTAGTACCCACCTAACAAGTCATAAAAGCAAAGCTCAAAAAGATTAAACTACTTCCAAGTAATTTAACTCCATTCCAGAACAATACCCAAGAACATTTATAGGAATACAAAACTGTTCAGCTTACAGAGGTAAAATTCATAATGTGTTGCACTTAACCAAAGATTATCAAGCATGCAAAGAAGGAAGAAAACAGAATTCATAGTGATAATCATCAATCAATTGAAGCTGACCCAGAAATGACATAGATGATAGAATTAACAAACAAGAACATTAAAACAATTCATTATAACTGTGTTCCATACATTTAAAAAGGAAAAACACAAGCTGGGCACAGTGGCTCATGCCTGTAATCCCAGCACTTCCGGAGGCAGAGGTGAGAGGATTTGAAAACAGCCCGGGCAACTTGGTGAGATTTTGTTGCTACAATAAATCAAAAATTAGCCAGGTGTGGTGGCATGCGCCTGTGGTTCCAGCTACTTGGAAGACTGAGGTGGAAGGATCACCTGAGGCAAGCAGGTCAAGGCTGCAGTGGCCATGAGCGTGCCACTGCACTCCAGCCTGGGTGACAGTGAGACTCCAACTCAAAAAAAAAAGTAAAAACACAGATGATAAAAGAAAAAGACTCCAACTGAGCTCCTAGAGATAAAAACTAGTGTCTGAAATGAAAAATACATTGGATGGGATTAACAACAGATTTCGCATTCCAGAAGAAAAGATTAATGAATTTGAACACATATGATAGAAACTATCCAGAATGAAACACAGAGAGAAAAAAAACCCCAAAAACAAAAAGAGCATCAGTGAGCTGTAGGATAACTTCAAAAAGCCTAATATATGTGTAACTGAGGTCCCTAAAGGAAGAAGGTGGGAACAGAAAAAGCATTTTAAGAAATAATGGGCCAGGTGTGGTTGCTCACGCCTGTAATCCCAGTACTTTAGGAGGCAGAGGCGAGAAGATTGCCTGAGTCCAGAGATTCGAGACCAGCCTGGGCAACTTGGCGAGACCGCATCTCTACAATAAATCAAAAAATTAGCCGGGCATGGTTGGCGCATGCCTGTAGTTCCAGCTACTTGGAAGGCTGAAGCGAAAGGATCACCTGAGCCCAGCAGGTTGAGGCTGCGGTGCTTGTGAGCATGCCGCTGCACTCCAGCATGGGCATCAGTGATACTCCAATTAAAAAAAAAAAAAATGACTATTTTAAACAAAAATAACAACACTGTATGATGGAGTTTTTAACATACATATAAGTAAAATGTATAACAATAGCATAAAGGCCAGTAGGGGCAAATGGAAATATACTATTCTAAAGTTATTTTACTATAGGTGAAGTGGCATAATAGCACTTTAAAAAGCAGACTATGACAGCCAGGCATGGTGGCTCATGCCTGTAATCTAAGCACTTTGGGAAGCTAAGGCAAGAGAACTGCTTGAGCCCAGGAGGTCGAGACCAGCCTGGGCAGCATAGCAAAACCTTAGCTCTACAAAAAAATCAAAAAATTAGCCAGGCATGGTGGTGTACGTCAGTAGTCCCAGCTACTCAGGAGGCTGAGGTAGAAGGATTGCCCGAGCCAGGAAGATGAGGCTGCAGTGAGCTATGGTCATGCCACTGCACTCTAGCCTGGGCCACAGAGTGAGATACAAACTTGGAAAAAAAAAAAAGAAGTTGACTGCGATAACTTAAAGTTGTATACTATAAACCCTAAAGCAGTCCAGGCGCAGTGGCTCATACCTGTAATCCCAGCACTTTGGGAGGCCAAGGCAAGAGGACT